GGATTGGTATGGTCAAAGTGCAGGACCTTGTTTTCTTTCCCTCACACCCCACATTTGAAAATGTTCAAGGATGTGTCTGGGCAGAGGGTTTGAAGTGGGTGCTCACCTGTCTGTGGCATCCTTGGGCTTCCCTTTGCCCCCTGAGCCGCAGTAGCAGCCGTAGAAACCGTAATACCATAAAGCATTTTTCCCTGTTGTCTTACTGATCATGTCATGCAGGTTCCAGAGGTTCCCATGGACTAGGGATAAGCCTGGGGGGAGGGGAGGAGAGGAAATCAAGGGGCTCATCTTAATGCTTAGCTCCTCAGCAGCATCTCCATCCCTCCAGCCCCCAAAACTGGCACCAGGTTGATGATGTCTTAGAAATCATGATGTGATGGCGAGGAAATTTGTTCCCAGCTTGGTGCAGGAGAGTTGTTGTGTGTTTGGGAGAAGTGGTGATGAGCCAAGTTGACAAAATCACCAGCCTGGTCCTAATTGCCATGGATGTAGTTGCAGGGAGAGCTGTGGGACTGGTGTGAGTGAGGACACTTACCACAGACAAACAGCACAGTGAGGGCAAGGAGAGAGTTCATCCTTCCAACAGCCCTGGAAGAGGAAACCAAACCATTTTCCTGTTATATCAACCACTTTCTTCTTTCCTTCTTCCTGGGGGGCAGACATTCTGCCCCTCTCTGGGGATTAGGGGAGATGAGGGGGGCAAGGATTCACCCATCATTTTGGGACAAAATTTGGGATAGGAAGCACTGGGAATTGGATGGTGGAGAGGTAGGAAAGAGCAAAATGAAAGGAAAAAGGCAGAAGAGTTGAAGGAATGATCAGCCCTCAGAAGCTACATCCCCTGCTCTGCCTCTGGGCTGGGATTTCAGGTAGCCTGTCCTTCACTCCTGCTTTCCTGGCAGGGAACTCACCCCCTGCTTGCACTACAGCTTCTGGCTAAAGTAGGAAAGGGAGGACAAGCATTCCTCCATCCACACTTACCTCTGGAAAGCTGCTGCTGGCTCACAGTGCTCTGCAGCCACCTGGGTTTGCTTTATATAGGGTTTGCTCCTCACTGTCAGGGACTCCTTTGGCCCAAATCTCGCTGACTAGGCTTGTCTGTAAAAGAGAAGGCACCATCCTTCCCCTTTGGGGGAATGGCAGAAATCCCCCCAGTGCCTCAGCTCTGCACCCCACGCACAGGGGATGGTGCTGGGTGGGATGAAGTGGCAAAGCAGCCGTCACTTGCAGCCTGAGAAGGAAGCAAACACTCTCTGTCCCCAGCTGGAGGTGCCTGAGGGCTTTTTCCTCTGCCCTGCCCAGCACCACAGAGCTGCATCAGGGGGAAAGAACAGCCCTGACTCAGCCTGTGCAGGAACAAATGTGGTTTCAGGGTTCTGAGGGGTTTGGGAACTGACTCTCAGCAAAGGTGGTTTGGGGTGAGTTATCAGTTCTTTGGAAGAAGTCTATGGGCAACACTAGAAGCATCTCGAAGTGTGCAGTTCCCAGAGACAGGAGGTTGGGCTGATGATTAAACTGTCACTCATTGTGAGAGGAGAATGAAGCAAAATGAATGTTTTGGGGTAAAAAATGCAAGTTCCCTTTATTTCTCTCAGCATGATTTTTCCACCCCCTCGTTGCAGCCCCTCTGAAGAACCCACACCTTCTGCAGAAACCACTCAGCCACCAACTGCCCTCCTAAATGAGCTCTGCCTCATTTAGGGAGGGTCAAGTCTTTGAAATCTTCCCTCCTCTGCAGACAACTATTCTTAATTTCCATAGAATCACAGAATCATGGAATAGTTTGGGTTGGAAGGACCTTAAAGCTCATCTCATTCCACCCCCCTGCCATGGGCAGGGACACCTTCCAGGTTGCTCCAAGTCCCATCCAACGACACTTGCAGGGATGGAGCAGCCACACTATTCCCCAAACACAGTACTCCATGAAGGGATAGACCTGTGAATTACAGCACTATCAGGACCATGGAAACATTGGGGTGTTGGGGAGATGATGTGGCTGAGGTGTGGGATGCAGAAGTTCTCCCCAAACTCAGCAGCCACTATTGCAATGCCCCAATCTCAGCAGCTCTTACAGACAAACACCACAGAAGCAGTTTGCATCCCTTTTATTGCATCTATTATCTTTGCTGGGAAATGAAATCAAGAGAGGAGGAAAGGACAAAAAAAAGAGGCAGCTGGTGTGTCTTTCTGGGAACTGATGTGTCTCTGTTTAAAGTTTGTGTCTGTCCTTCCTCACCCTGAGCAGCACCTTGTGAGGAGCCTCGAGGGCTCTGGCCCTGCTCAGCCCCATCCCAGGCTCTTCTTGTTGTAGCCATGGGGAAAACCAGACAAAATTTGGATCTTCCTGTGCAGATTCCTTGTCCTCAGCACTGGAGCTTGTTTCCTTGGCATTTCAGCTTGAAGTAGAAGCGGTAGGAGTTGTTGTAGGAATGCAGAGTGCTCGCGAAGCACGAAGCCACTGCCTTGTCACACAGGCAGATCTCTCTCTCACACCAGCTCTGCTTCTGACCTAAGGTGGTGAGAAAACACAATGGTCTGCAGTGGTTTTTCTGGTGGGATCCCCTTGGATCATTCCCAATGCCTGGAACTGCCCAGGGGAAGCAGATGAAAAAGTGTGTCCCAGTGTTTTCCCCTCTCCAACCTGCCCTCATCCCTTCCAGTGCCCATTTAACTATCAGACCCATGGGGAATCAGGGTGCCTTGCTCCAGGGATGGGGTGTCACAGGGAGCAGTGCTGTGCCCACCTCCGTGGGACCCTCCACTCTGTACTCACTGCAGGTGATGTGTCCATCGTGGGTGGTGAAGCTGTAGGGGGTTATCAGGGGGCTGCACTCGCCCTCCCTCAGCCTTCTGTAGCAGCAGTCGTGGGCTTGGCAGCACCTGTGGGGACACCACATCAAACCATTGCTCCCCAACCCTCCCTCAACACACCTGGAGGGTAAAGGAAGGTCCAGCCTCAAACTGAAGGTGACCAGGAGGAAGGGATGGCAAGGCAGCACAGGATGTGGCTGGGAAATGGGGCAAACCTTCTTCCCAGAGCACACCAGTGCCAGGAAACTGCCAGCAAGGGGATTTTCAGGGGTCTCCACACTCCCTGCTCCAGGGGGAGAGTGGTGGAGCTGTTGCAGGTACTCACTGGTCGGTGGGATCCACGGGGGTCCCTCTGCCCCCGATGCCGCAGAAGCAGCCGTACCAGCTGTAGGAGAGCAGGGCACTCTTCCCTGTGGCTGACTTGATCATCTGCTCCAGCTCCAGGACACTGGTGCTAGCTGGGAGCAGCCCTGTGGAGAGACAGGGATGGGCTCTAATACCACCCCAGGGTTATAGAATCCCTGAATTCCAGACTGGTTTGAGTTGGAAGGACCTTAAAGCTCATCCCATTCCATCCCCTGCCATGGGCAGGGACACCTTCCACTAGATCAAATTGCTCCCAGCCCCATCCAACCTGGCCTGGAACACTGCTCCAGGGATGGAGCAGCCACAGCTGCTCTGGCCAACCTGAGCCAGTGCCTCAGCACCCTCTCAGGGAAGATGTTTGGCTTCTGCAGCCACTGGATTCAGTCTGGCAGAAGATATTTCTCTCCAGACAGGCTGTGCCACACTGCAAACAGCAATCCCCCATCACCAGGATGAGCCAAGGGCTTGGCACAGGCAGGGAAGGTTCCAACAGTCTCCAGAGCCTCTTAAAATATGGATCTCAGCATCCCAAAGCCTCCCCATCCTGAAGACCTCCAGGCCTGCAGCAGTGCTACAGGAGCATTAGAGAGAACCTGCCCAATTGGAACCAAACCCTGAGCTGTGCCCAAAGGCTCAGGTGTGTCCCTGAGTCCCAGCCCTGCCTGTGTCACCAGAGCACTTACCACAAGCCAGGAGCATGGCAAGGAGGAGATTCCTCATCCTCAGGCTGCCCTGCAGAGGGAACAGCAAGGGCAGGCGATGAGCAGAAGCTTCCCCAGTGCCCCACCCAGGACATGGAGCCAGTTCTTTAGTCCTGATTTGGGATGTGATGCTCAGGAGGGACACAGTGCCTGTCCTGCCTGGGGCTGATGGAGCAGCTCAGGGTGTGCAGCCTCCCATACCACCCCCCAGGCTACCTGATGAGTACCAGGGCAATAAAATCCCCTTCCTTACCCCACCTGGACCTGCAGCTCCAACAATGCTGGCTCAGAGGGTTTGGTTTATATAGCTACTGTGGCCCACCCCCTCCTCTATCTGCTCTGACGGCATCTTCGTCCCAAGCCAGGCTCACTGCATGGCCCCTCGGAGCAGGGAGCAAGTTCCCATCCTTCCCTTTTCCAAAAAAACATGAGTTTCCATGCAGCAGTGAGCACCAACACTCCTTCCATCATCTCCCTCATCGCTGGGCACGAGGCTGTCTCCATCCCTGAGTGAGATGGTTTAAATGGTTTTAAAATTCATGGGATTTGATAGCTGGAGAGTTGGGATAAAAGCAATTTATGCCCAGTCTAGCACCTCAGAGGTCATTGAATCCTTGTTCCAGCTGCAGAGGTGGCACTTTGGGCTTGGTGTTGTCTCAAGTGGGTCCTTGGTTTTGCCAACTCATACCCTGAAGCCTCAAAGATGGTTTCTCTTGCGTCATTCCTTGTAATTTTCCCCCAAATCTATGGCTGCATCCAAATCCAGCCTCACCAAATCACATGGGGAGGTGAAGGGAAGAGAGCAAACACCATGTTTGCAATCCCTGGGTCTGCAGTTTTCCTGCCTTGCCCTCTGTGGTTTTCCTGTCTGCCCAGACTGCGTGGGCAAGGGGGCTGTGAAATTAAATCACCAGCAGCCAAAAGCTGGAAAAGTCATGGAAACCCGACTTGGAATGCTTTGGGAATACAGTTTGTTTAATCACCATAACCCAGACATGATAGAGAGACACGTGGGAGGCAGAAAAGCAGAGGAGATAAGGAACAAAAGCTGCTGTTTTCCCTGCAGAGCTGTAGGGCCGAGAGCAAACACGGACACAAATGCAGGTATCGGGTGATATGCAGAGCTCCACCCTCAGGAATTAATCATGCTCCTGGGGAAGGGAATTTGGGCTTGGAAATTGTAAGGAAGTGACTCAGGAGTCTGGAGTCAAGAAGAAAAACCTTGGTGGAATTTCTTGAGACACCAAAGCTGCTTGTTAGAAGGGATGTCACCTCCTGGCTGTTCTCCAAGGTGGCAGAACTGTCTGTCCTGGGGTTTCCTTCTCTCTAACCTTTTATCTCCTGCTGCAACTGGAATAAAAACCCATCCAAGCCCATTAAGGATGGGGAGTAACATCTCACCTGCCTCCCCACTCAAGTGTGGTGTTACTCACAATCTGCACAAGAAACCATCCCGAAATGCCACACTGCAAACCCAACACCCAAATCCCTGACTTTTAAACGAAGGCATCCCTGATAATTCATTAATCCCTTTCCCACCTCCTCATCCTCAAAAAAATTCCATGACAGAAGATTTTTCCCCACTGTGGTGATCATTGTCTGTGCTGCTCGTGCTTTGGCATTGCAGGTCCTTGGTTTTGGGGGAAAGATCTGAGGTTTTGCTGTAGAGTTTGGATAAACCTGCATGAAAAGCATTGTCCAAGGGTCTAAATGGAGAGCAGAGGGCTGGGATCATGTGGATTTGGGATCCACACATGGTTTTAACCAAAACCCCTCCCTCTGGGGAAGATCTCAGGAGATCACACAAAGCTGAACCCTCTCTTTAACTAACCCACAAACTCAAGGACTTAAAACCCACCCATGGAAGCTACTATCCCATTGGAAATATGGAACCTTTCAGCCTTCTTATGGAGCAAACAGAGCCAGGTATCACCCTCACATCTGTTTGCTCAGGGCCTTATTGAAGTGTAAATACTCTGAGTGCTTTGATCTGCTGCACTCCTGTTTTCCCTGCAATATTGCTAAACATCCTGGCGTGGAATGAGCTGATAGGAAACTGTTTCCCTACTTATTTTCTTGCTTTTTAGTGCACAGGTTTGCCTTGATCTTGCCTCCTCACAGGGTGGAGGTCTCAGGTTTATGGTGGATATTGATTTCTTGTGTCTTGCTGCCTTTGATGGGTGTCTGTTTATGGGAGAAGCAGTTGGTTAACTAGGAGTAGGTTTGGAAAGGGATTAATGGCAGAGATGGAAAGGGCAGTGTTACGTGGGGTATTGCCAGAAGGAAAACTGACTCAGGAGCTGTTTGTGACCCGGGGGATCAGGAGGACTCTCCCTCCCTGTCAGCTGCAGCTCTCCCAGCACAAAGTGAGCTTAAAACTCCCCCAAATGAGTTGGTTTAGATCCCTGTATCATAGAATTAATCTGGTTGGAAGTGTAATTTTTCAAAGGCATTTTCATCAGAGTTTGGGGTTCATTTGTCTGATTTTATTCACTCAGGTGAAGCTGTTCCATCACACCATCATGACACTCATGTCACAGGGGGTTAAACCCTAATCATGTGCTCCCACCCTGCTGCCTCTGCTCAGGACAGGCTGTAACACCTCAGTGTTACACTTGGAGGGTTAAAACCCAAAGCTTTGGGTACTGAAATGGGGGTGACCACGTTGTGGTTTGCTTTGGGTGGTGTGGAGGGGTGAAAGCTCCTGCAGGAAGGATAGGGACAATCTTGGTGTCACACTCAGGGTGTGGAGCTGTTTGGGAGAGGTCCCTGTCACCGCCTGCTCCTTCGTGCCCTGCAGGACAAAGCCTCTGGAACTTTCCCAAGGTGGTAGAGCTGTCCCTGTGCCACTGCCTAGGCCTGATACCATGTCACATCCTTGCACAGAGCCTGTTGGGGCAAACTGGTTGTCACCTGGCCCAGGTGTGTCCCTCCCATCTGCACCAGTGTGTTGTGGATGTCCCTGAGCCTGGTGACATCCCCTGGGACCACACTGGAACATCACATCCATCCCCAGCCATGGATGCATCCCTGGATCCACCCTGGGACATCACAGCTGTCTCCAGCCCTTGTTCCATGCCCTTTATCCATGCTGGGACATCCTGGCTGTCCCCAGCCCTGGTTCTGTCACGGCCCTATGTCCACCCCAGGCTGTCATGTTCTGCCCCAAGCCCTGTGTCCCTGTATCCTCATGTCTCTGTATCCCTGTGTTGCTGTGTCCCCATGCCCCTGTATCTCTATATCCCTGTGTGCCTTTATCCCCCTACTTTGTATCACCATGTTCCCCTAGCCCTGTATCCCCCTATCCCTATGTCCCTGTATCCCCATGTCCCCTTATGCCCCTATTCCCCTGTATCCCTGTCTTCCCCTATCCCTGTATCCTCATGTCCTCATATCCCTGTATCCCCATGTCCCTGTATTGCCCTATCCCTGTATCCCCATGTCCCTTATCTCCATGTCCCTGTGTCCCTTTATCCCCCTATCCCTGTATCCCTATGTCCCTGTATCCACATGTCCCTTATCCCCCATCCCTGTATCCCCGTCCCCGTGCCCTTGTATCCCCTATTCCTGTCTCCCCTATCCCTGTATCCCCTACCCCTGTCTCCCCATGGCCCCGTGTCCCTCTCTCCTCCTATCCCTGTATCCCCATATCCTCATATCCCAGTATCCCTGTCTCCCCATGTCCCCATGACCCCATGTCCCTGTCTCCCCCTATCCCTGTCTTCCCAATCTCTCCCTGAGACATGGTTTTGTGCAGTTTGGCCTGACCTTCCCCCGAGGCGAAGCGCTGCACTGTCTGCAACGATTCCAAGCACAAAGGTTTAAAATCAAGACAGTTCTTGGGATGTCAGATGATTTTTTTGCCCCTAACAAAAACTCCCCTATCCCTGTATCCCCCATCCCCCATCCCAGTCTCCCCTATCGCTGTTTCCCCTATCCCTGTTTTCCCTATCCCTGTCTCCCCTATCCCCCATCCCCTATCCCAGTTTCCCCCATCCCCTATCCCAGTATCCCCCATCCCCTATCCCTGTCTC